AGCAGCGAGCGTGATTCCTTAGCTTCTCCATCTCCACCTTAAGGCCCTTAATCTCCTTCTTCATTTCCGGAAATTTTTGAAGGAGTCCAAAACATGTCGTACAGGCTTCGTCTTCGTATTTGATATCTATACAGCTTATTAAACTCCTTGCTCGATTTACGGGGGGTGATTTGACAGCGATATATACAGGGTTGCAGTTGTTTGTACTACCAATAATGTTTGCTCATTTATTTATTTCAGCCCGCCGACCGTGCTGCGGTAGTCTAGTGGTGATCTTGGTGGTCGCCTGGCGGCGGCTCCTGAGTTCAGATTCCATTCGAGGCGACTGTTTTGCACAATGTCCTGAAGGCGTTTTGTATTTCCCCTTATTAAATCAAAGAATACACTAGGTATTCTAGGTACGGGATGAAGTATGTAAAGGTGTAGGAGGAGCTTTTTAACCGGACCAACAATATGAAACAAATAGTAAACGACTCAGCCGTTCTTAGAACTGGAAAGTCCGGCGGTGCTGTTGGCAGAGAAGTGATACGAAGAATATTCTGTCAAAGTTCCGTTGTGATAGTTCGAGGAATTGCTAATTACGCTTCAATTTCTTAATCCAAATGGACCTGCAGTGCATCCAGTAGACAGAAATCCCGAAAAAGGCAAATTCCTCGAAGGTCGAAAATTCCAAACCGAATTCGAAGTACGCGCTCCCATTCCAGGCGTCTTCTGTGGCGTTTTTCCCCGGGCTAAAAAATTCATCAAAGGGACGGTTTCAGAATCCCACCTCAATTATCGTTTTATTGCTGAGAAGACTGTAACCTGCACTGTGTTAGGTTTACCGTTTATATTTATCATCAAATGTTCCCGAAGTTCGCAATTTAGTACTGGTGATTGTCTTTCAAAATGACCAGGGAATCCTTTCTTCGGCTAGTGTACCCTGCTGTACAATGCGAAGCTTTGTTATTGCCAGCCAGAAGCCCCAATGGTAACAAGGCGGATAAAGGTAACGCGTTACGCACACTGCTGAGAAGTAGGAGCAGACATATGTTCTTCAAACATAAAAGCAAAAATGGAGAGAAGAGATCCATACTGCGACATAAAATTTGTGGAAATTTGTAGGTGGTTTAGGACCTGGTTGGTCCATATTGACAAAAGCTCTCGGATGGAAGTCTTGTTTTGTTTCAATTACACAAAGGGGAACCCTGACGTTTCGCATTGGGAAAAGTGAATCAGAAGCTTATTTCTGTCGTGGTTTATCTCCGGTTTCCTGAAAAATTAGTAATGAGAATTCGCGAATTGATTTTTGAAAATAATATATTTCTAAAAATTATATATGTAAAGCCCAGTAAGCAGTAAATCGTTAAAATTCGTTATTGAGTGGTGGAACAAAGATGAAGCTATGTATGGGGAGAATTTCGACGACTTATCAATATCGATGAACAAACACATGAACTGTCAGGCAAGCTTCTGTTTAATATAAACATATTTTTAAAAACAGGTGACTGATGATTTTAAAATGCGAATGAACATTTTGCCGATAGTTTCACTTCGGGACAATGTTCCACAAGCAGAAATTTATGTCATTATTCTATTCCTACTTGTTATGGGATCGACAACCTTGGAGCTCTACGGAGAACATTTATGGTCAGAGATGGAACTATCGGGCGTGCGCGAGCTCAGAAGCGCTCTGACCTACAGGCGTCACCACTTTCAGAACTATGTTTAGAGCTTTTAACATGAACAGAGCTTTTAAATCTTTAGCTGCCCGGAATACAGTCAGTTCGACTGGCGGCATGGTCACCGTCTGATTGCCAGACCAGCTAATGTCTGGTGCGATGCTGAATGCGCGCTGTAGTGGCACATACACAGTTTTTACCAGTATTCCCTGACCACTGTCGCATCGATAACGAAGCCCAAAACGGGCAAATAGGCCAGCCGCTTGAATAGTCCTTCACCCTAACTTGACCATCCAAATCCCTTGCAAAAATCGGCAGACCGCCACGAGAAAATGTTTTTGCTATCGTTTTTAGCTGGGTGTAGAAAGTTTCTTTATTGTGTTGAATGACAGCTGACGCGGGCAAGAACATAAGAGCGATAAAAAAGCTATGTGTGTTCGTCTACTTGCGCGTGATTGATAGCTCGGAAATTCCAGAATCCAGTAAATTGAGCCGCTTACCTCTGAATAATTTGGCTAATTTGCTATGTTTCATCATCTATTTACAAGATTTAGAGGATATATCGCCCTATGCGGTCGCCGTAGCACTGATGGAAGTACTCGAACAGAACATTTCCAGGGCGTTTTTAAGAAAACATGAGTACAGGCGGGACTCCAGCAGTCATTCGGATTGTCCATTTAAAGTTGCCTCCTGTAGGGCGCTTGCAGCTGAGGAAATCCAAAATAACCCCTTACAACTTATTATGACAATGTTATATCGGCGTTATCCAGACTTGTGATATTGCATACGGCATTGCATATTCATTATTACCACCTAAAATGGGCGTTTACACCATTAGTGCAGACCTCCACGCCACTTCCACTACTACGTCGAATGCGCTATCCACTCGCTGGTGCATATAATAAGAGAACGAAGTGAGCTCGAAACTTAGAAATCCCTGTTATGATAGGCAAGTGCATCTAACAGCGCGATAAATCCCACGCGCTCAAATTTATCTCGAAAAACTATGTGTTGCATATCGTGGATGCGCCAGTCAACTAAGCATCGTTTTTCCATAATTATATTGGACAGTTTTCACTTACTGGAGTAAACTGACTTCACTATCTGTCTACAGTCTGGGACCTACGGGAAGAACGACTGCTTGACCTATATTTTGTCTTATCTCATAGTTTTTCACTAGCAGTTCTAATCAGCTTCTTCTTGTTCAGGAATAATAGGCAGGGTGTGTGCCCGATGCAGGTTTATGTCTCGTCGAATTTGTGCCTTCGTAAACAAATGACAATCCAATATCTTGTAAATAATTCAAACGTCAATGCTAGAATTGCGTTTAAAGACCTGTCTACAGGCCAAAATCAAAGATTTAGGTCTGTAAATATTCCGAATTAAATATAAATAACTAGTTATAGTTAAATATAACTCGAATTCGCGACCTGTTATTTGGGTATGACTGGCTGACGACGACTAATAAGCCAGAAATGGCCATTCCAGTCTCTCTTGTCATTGTCGGTAATAACATCCTGTCTAAACCGAATACTGTGTGGATAGGTACCCGAACGTCATTTGAATAGTTGTTGTGTACGCCATTGCGCGTATACACCACTAGTGCAGACCTCCACGCCACTTCCACTATTACGTCGAATGCGTCGGGGTCGCATGAAAGAAAGTAAAAATAAATTAACATAGAATTTTAAACGAGGTAGGCAAAATCTTTACAAAATGCAATCCAGAGTTTCTGAATTTGTAGTCCGTTGTTAAAAAATCATGAGCAAACAATGCAAAAAAACTCACTTAAAAATTTAAGAATGACTGGATTAACTTTACAGGATAAAAAAGCCTCGATAATAATAGCACAACATATGCGAACAGGACTGGCCTGCATGTGGCGGTATATAACAGATTGTAATCGGACATCGTCAGGGCAGAAATAAATGTCGGCCTTGATTATAATTGGACAACTTCAGGGCGGAAATAAATTGCCGATATAAGCGAACAGGCGAGTTCCAGACAGCAGTTCAGAAGACGAAGATGCGATCACTGGAACAAAAAATTTACTGGCCTGACGTTTCGGATTCTCACTCGAATCCATCATCAGATACATTCGCAGATAAAGGTGATGGTGGCACAGAGAGTGCAGTATTTATAGCACGTAGCTGCCGTGGGACCATTTGCGCATTGTAATTAACAGCTCTCGCAATCACCGCTGAGGTGGTAATCTATGCGTTGGTGGCTTCTCAGTCCGAGTCCGAGTCGCTAATGGCCGTGATTTCGTCATCCGTGCTGGATGCTGGTGTGACGATTGCTCGGCAAATTGGCTCACTGTCACTTGGATAATTGCTCGGCCGCGCCCTCCCCACGTGACTGATTCCCCTGCTCAGGGAAAACCTCAGCAGGGAATATGGTAACGGGAGGTCATTGTGCTTGTTGATGGATTGCGGGCCTGAAAACCATGACTCGAGCAGCTCGCGGCTCACGCGGTAGTCACCCCTTGCGAGGATTTCGGCCTCTTGAAATTTGAAAATGTGGCCGGGTCCCGTCGTGTGTGCCGCCACCTGAGAACTAGCGTCTCCCCGCCTCACTGCTGCTGCATGCTTGGCAATTCGTGTACGGTGTAATATCCCAGTTTCTCCGACATAGTTGCTTTGTCCGCAACTACACCAAATCCATCAAACGACTCCAGACGTTTCCTGCCGTGGCATCGGGCCTTTTGGCCTCATGACTTGGCGCCTAATGGTTGCTTCCTGCCTGTGTGCAACCCCAACTGCAAGTGGAGTGAGAAGACGACTGACGACTTCCGAGACGTTCTTCATGTACAAAAGAGCCCGTCAAAATTTGGGCGCGACGCACTCCGATTGGCTCAAAGGTCGAAAAATTTGCCCTTCGAGAGTCGTCTTCATATGCGTAGATTAGATTTCTGCACAGGTGTCTTGACAACAATGTGCTGCCGAAGTGTGTTTCATACAAACCTTCAGTCAACACAGAGATGGCGAGACGCGCAGTACTTCAGCACGGCCGACGAATGATCCGAGTGGTCTTTCAAGACTGTAAATCACGGATTTGCAAATCCCGTCAGAGGATTGGCCAATAGAAAGCAATTTGCTGCGAGTTCATGGGCAAGGCCGGCACAAAACTGCTTCAGCAGAGGCTGGCCGAACGAACCCCCGAACATAAAGCCACACGCGAAGCAGCCATTGAGAGCAATTTTCGTAAGCTGCCTGCTCCAATGTCATCCGGTAACGACAAACTGGTGCATAACCTGTCGTCAAAGGAACTGACGGGGGAATAAATGCAGGTTTTACGGCATGAGGCCCCATTCACCAAGCCGATGGCAAACCTGCCAACATGATCGCAGCAGTGGAGTCAATCCTCAGCCAGACGGGAGCGACAGGCGAAACGAAGAACTTCATTCGACACCAAGTGTCCTCCTTCCTCATGGCACATAGGTCGCGTGACGTGCTTTCCAACGTCGAGCGCGGTGCCCTTAAGGAAATCAGGGCCGACAACGACCTGGTTATCGTGCCTGCGGACAAGGGGCGTTCAACGGTCGTATTGGGCAGGACAAACTACAATCAAAAAGCCAAAAGCTTGTTGGAGGATCGTCAGTCCTATGTCCCATGCGAATCCAACCCAATAAAAACGCTGACACGCGAGATTAACGCGACGCTGTTGGCAATGGAGAACTCAGGTGCAATATCGCCAATCGACCGGTGCAAGGTGAGAGCACGAGAAACGGCCCTAGCCCTATTCTACGGTCTTCCAAAAGTACACAAAGAGGGCGCTCCTCTCCGGCCTATCGTATCACTAAAGGGCACTCCAACCTACGGACTGGCAAAGTGCCTGTTCCGACGTCTCAAATTTCTGACCTCTGATTCGAACTCCACAGTCAGCTAGTCAACGCAATTCTTGGATAAACTTAAAGGAGTAAGTCTCCTGCCAAGCGATGTCATGGTTTACTTTGCTGTCACGTCCCTTTTGACTTCTTTCCCGCAGGACCTGGAAGTCGAGACCATCGAGCTACTCCTATGAGAGAAATACGACGAAATGGAGAATCGCCTCGGACACGCCCAAATCATCCAGCTCCTAAAGTTCTGTCTCAAGACGTACTTTACATTCGACGGAACAATCTACGAGCAGGTGAAAGGGACGCCATTGGGTTCGCGGATTTCGGGACTCATAGCCGAGGCGATCCTACAACGGTTGGAGTCGCTGGTTTTCCGACAGCACAGACCGAAATTTTGGGCTCCGTATGTGGATGACACCTTCGTCGTCATCGAACGGGATCAGGTGCTGACACTCAAAGAACATCTCAACGCCGTCTTCCCGGACATTCAGTTGACGATCGAGGAGGAGGAGGAGGAGGAGGAGGGAGAAGAAAGCAACCAGTTCGCCATCCTGGATGTCCTCGTCTGCCGCAAAGAGGGTGGTGGCCTAAAAACCAAAGTGTTTAGGAAAACGACAAAGAAGATGCAAGTACTGAACTTCAATAGCAACCACACGATTAGTCACAAATGCAGTTGCGTAAGGGCGCTATACCGGCGCGTTGAGACGCACTGCAGTGAAATGGAAGACAAGGTTGCTGAATTACAATATCTTCGATGGGTAATGAGAGCCAATGGTAACGCACGCAACTTTGTCAACCAGTGCATACGAAAAGGACACCAGAGACAAAATCCAACCGGCCCCAAATTTTTGCCGACTCTTCCGTACGTGAAGAACGTCTCGGATGTCGTCAGTCGTCTTCTCACTCCACTTGCAGTTGGGGTTGCACACAGGCCGGAAGCAACCATTAGGCGCCAAGTCATGAGGCCAAAATGCCCGATGCCACGGCAGGAAACGTCTGGAGTCGTTTGATGGATTTGGTGTAGTTGCGGACAAAGCAACTATGTCGGAGAAACTGGGATATTACACCGTACACGAATTGCCAAGCATGCAGCAGCAGTGAGGCGGGGAGACGCTAGTTCTCAGGTGGCGGCACACACGACGGGACCCGGCCACATTTTCAAATTTCAAGAGGCCGAAATCCTCGCAAGGGGTGACTACCGCGTGAGCCGCGAGCTGCTCGAGTCATGGTTTTCAGGCCCGCAATCCATCAACAAGCACAATGACCTCCCGTTACCATATTCCCTGCTGAGGTTTTCCCTGAGCAGGGGAATCAGTCACGTGGGGAGGGCGCGGCCGAGCAATTATCCAAGTGACAGTGAGCCAATTTGCCGAGCAATCGTCACACCAGCATCCAGCACGGATGACGAAATCACGGCCATTAGCGACTCGGACTCGGACTGAGAAGCCACCAACGCATAGATTACAACCCCAGCGGTGATTGCGAGAGCTGTTAATTACAATGCGCAAATGGTCCCACGGCGGCTACGTGCTATAAATACTGCACTCTCTGTGCCACCATCACCTTTATCTGCGAATGTATCTGATGATGGATTCGAGTGAGAATCCGAAACGTCAGGCCAATAAATTTTTTGTTCCGGTGGTCGCATCTTCGTCTTCTTAATCCAAATATTTTTATAGAAAACACGCACAAAATTATGCTTTCTTTTACTTGTTTGGTAGAGAAACACATTGTCGTCACATTTATTACACAATGAAATGTTATCTTTCGGGCTAGAAAAAGTTTCATATTTCTAGATTTTTTAAGTCTTCACTGTCCATTCATCATGCAGTACCGTACCTGTCTGTTTACCACTGCTCCTCACGAAGTATGTTCCAGTCCAGAAGTATCGCAAAATTAAAAGAACTCTCTGTGGTATCTTCTTAAAGGAATAGAGGAACATATAAATTTACTTACGCGAAAAGCGTGCGCCTTGTAGACGCAAATCGCATAAAGCTAATGCAACGGCTGACCAGAATCAAAATTATTTGGGAGTTGAGAAACTTCTCTAAACCGAAATATGGCCTTTCTTCGTGCATAAAGTTTAAAGACTTTACTTTCTGCCAAACGAGTAAACGAAAGCATAGTTTTGTGCGCGCTTTCCATAAAATATATTTGTATTTATAAGACTATAAATAATCTTTGTTAAAAATTCAGGCTAATTAAATAGCCACTTTTTATCTAGTGCGGTTTCTAGAGGAGTTCGAAAAGAAACGCATTCAGAAGCCGACATCCTGGCTAGTTCGAAATACAATAATATTATGCCGCATGAAAATCAATATTAAAACCCTAGTCAAAAACGCATTATAGAAGTTCGGGTGAGATTGCCGTCCGTAGCCTGGGATTACGAGTCAACATTTTTGACTTACTTGCCTCCTATCAGTAGGCATGTTTAAATTAAGTTACGTAGTTCACCCGTGTCGGTCAGGCGGGGGTGTAACGCATTCGGCCTCGCTTTCGGGAACCTTGTCTGTTGTTGTTTTACCGTTTTCATACCCCCCTGCATATACTTACAGCTTAGACTTGGACGACGGACAGGCGGTTATGCTGCAAAGTCCTACATGTCCTTGCTCATGTTTGCATTTCCGCTCATACGGCCGTTTAGCCGGCGTGCCACGGTACTACGGGTGGGTCCTCCAGCTTTGACTACTTACTTTCCTTTTAGCTAGCTGAAGTCGGAATCTATCACGGCTATTGTCGCTCCACCAACAAGGAAGAAATAGCCTGCATTGTAGACGCGGTTTTCGGCCTCCACTGCGACCTCCCACGCCGTATTTTGCGTGGTTTTCGTGTGGGTTGGCCAGGCGCGTAGGCGTTGAGCGCCCTGCATGGGTGCAGTCCTGCACGGTCAGTGGACATTCTGTTTCTACTTGCGACTGCGGTTTACTATTTGCGCTGGTCACCTTCGGATCATTCTCCATCTGCTGCCTCGCACACTACCTCACCCCGCCCCCACCTCCCGGCGGCTTCCGATGGCTCCCCTATTTTCGGTATAGGCGTCAAACCAGGCTGTTGGCTTCCTGTGTGGTCTTCCTAAGTCGCGCTTTCCGTTTGCGTTTGCTGTCGGGTTTTGCGTTAAAAACCTTCTACGGCAGCTATTCGACGGATTTCGCTTGCTTCAGAGTTCCGCGGGTTGGCGGGTGTGCGGCGATCAGTATGGTTAGCTTTTAGCTTCATCTTTACCGTTACACGGCCTGAAGGCCTGCGTACTTAGGGCTAGCATCATGATTGGACAACGATTGCAGTGAGGGACCAGATCGGTTCCTCTTCATTCCCCTCGAACGCAGCATATTCATTCCTGGTTGGCGCATTACGGTTGGGATTATGGAAAAAAGGGGAGAAACACTGAGAGGTTGTGAAAGGATTTCACTATTGCAGTAAAAAGTTTGAATACAGCATAAGCTTCTCTGGCTGCATTGGTTTTCACTGGCACCAGTTCCTTGGCCTTGCTGTTAGTTTGCCATCAACGTGTTTGATTCGTCAGTGTGTTCATATCGCTCTATGCGTAGGATATCGTTTACATTTTCTTGCTTACCTTACCGTCAACTGCTGTATTTTTCGGTTACGTGGCCGCTTTCGGGGACCATATGTGCTTGCGCAACATGGGACAGGAATCATTCCCACGCCTTCACATCTGTTACACCTTAAAACTTCATTATAATACTATTTTCGCATAGCTGAAGGCAACTCCGTCCGTGCGTTGATGCAATTTTCGCATTCGCATGGGTTCTCGGTATCGGCCCCTGTTTTCCGAAGCGAGCACTCCTTTTGCTTGCAGATATTCCACTAGGTTTTGGCGACTGGATAATAGCAAGGATCTGTGCGAGCTCTGACGGTTTATTAACTAATGGGGCAGCTTTTCGTGCTTTCCCGGCTGCTTGCGTTTTACAAGCGGCAACCATATAATAAATAGTCAGCAAAATAATGACTACTCTGTGCAAACCGATCGTCACTGCGTACCCAATGCGGCTTATTCACGCGCCTCTTACGTAATCCACGTTTACACTTACTGTTCTTGGACTTCACTGTCCGCTGATTTATTTTCCGCTGACAGTTCACGGGCACTGGTCATCACGCGTCAAATTTTCTGGGGCACCTTTTGCGGAATGACCTTGGCCTTCGATACGTACCTCCTATTGATTACTAGGGCAGCGTTGTCAGCTAGTCTTATCTCTTTCAACCGAGGTGACCTTCCGCAGGCCGCGCTAAATATGATGGGCTTCTTCTTGAATTTTCCCCGTTATTTCACCTCAGAAAATTTCACTGTTTACTCTTGAAAACATTACCTTTTGTTTTACTTAATTTTAACCTCCTACGCCACCCATAAAAACTCCTTTACCACCGGTCCCGTCAGACAGGGACCTACCGGTCAGCATGCACATCCCAGGCTACCAACTGCGATCTGACCGTCAATTCTCTTTGACTGTAAGCAGCCTCACTCCCAATAGCACCGAGTGCCAAATCCGGAGTTCGGTAATTCGAAACCATCGACGGCCAGGGGTGACAAAGTATGAAGAACGATTATCAGGCTTCATTGTTTAGAAGAAGCTAGGCATGAAACACCAATTGAAATATGATCTCGGTCATAGAATATTATTTAGATCGCCTTGTAATATTGGTTATTACGCAGTGTAAGTCCAATATATTTTATTCGCGCTTTTAAATGCGCGCCTTGCCTAAAAAATCCCACTCATTAAGAAATGATAACTTAATTAGTGTGCATTTTCCCCTTCATTTTCGATGTTCTTTTAAATCCAGATTAACTTTATGGAAGGCGAGCACGGAAATGTATGTTATGTTATTTTCAAATTGTCGCCTAGAAACGAGGGCAGATGCAAATCTAAAGATGGCGCTGATTAAACACTTTTGGGAACCTAAAATAATTATTCAACTATCGCCACGTATGTTTGTTCATTTGTGCTACGTCTATGGCTCATGACGTTAAACCTTGTCCATTGTTCAATTTTATGAGTTTCATACGAAAGTCTAGTAGAATAGGGGAATTTTTGAGCTTTCTTTAAAGGAACGCATACAGAGTCCAATTTATAAGAGTACGAAGAAATCGCTAAAACACATTCATTCAATTTTTGTAGTCATTGTTAGGTAGTGTGGTGTTGGCTGGAGGCCGGACAAGTACGAATCGGAAAAACGATATTCAGGCGTCTTAGAATTATGTTTTATGGTCTTAACATTGCATCTCCGCCTAAGTAATCCTTTTTAGTCGGAATCATATCAGAATCCTGATTAGCTTTTTGTTAGATACATCACCTACTATGCATGAGCGTATGCATTCGAATATGTTCCGAGAACTATGCTTGCACCATCATGCATAGCCTAATTTCCGTTCTGCGAGGCACAACAAAAGCAGTGTAAAAAAGGACACTTAGATTTCGTTTTTTGAGAAAAAAGTCATATAACCGACGTGAGGTTATTTACTTCAATCACCTTCCATAAAAAGCGCTCTTATGCGTTAGCATTGAGCAATTTGCTTAGTACGCATTATACGACAACAATTTAAATTTGATCGCCAAAAGGAAGGTACGCTCTAAGTGATTGTCTTCGCATAGTGAAACCACCTAACGCTTTTTAGAAAAATGCTGTGAGCGGGCTCCTAAGAAGGCGCCATGATCAAGCTGCCTCAAGAACCTTTCCAGCAGCAAGGGCACAAATATTATTCACTACAAACCCTAGTTAATGCGGAGAAGATGAGGATTGGTTTACATCTCAGACCAACTCGATGTGCATCTATTCCTCCACTTTCTCCCCAAGAGAAGGTTATATTGGTCGTACGAGTCGGCGTCAACCCAAAAAAATACGAGAATACTCCCCAACACGGCTGGGAAAAGGCGAAACTAGGAGCGTAGGCAGCGCATTCTTGCGCATGCAGTTGATTCATGGCATCGTATGGCCCCCGCTGAAGCATCTCGTGTGATTTATAAAGTCCCCACGAGCTATGCTTAGCTCTAAGGCCAGCTTCTGTCGTCAACAGCGGAAGCGGCCGCAATCAGGTTACGAAAACCGACCCTGTGCCTCCAGAAAACATCTTTCCGGCTGCGCGCTTACCATGGTCAAAGGTTGACTAACCAGATGCCACTTTTCATATCCTTTCGCTCTCGCCCCGCCTGTATTATAAAAATTACGTTTATCGATTTTCAAGTCATTGAATAGTTTGACTGTATCTCGTTCCAGTACAAATATACTGGCCTAAAGAGAATTTATCGAAAGCTAAGGAATGCTCGCATACTTATTTTCGGAATAATGCAACGGGAATTTTTGCAGATCAAAAAGTCGAGACTTAAAGTGTTTTGAAATTTATGACAGCTTTAAAGGATGTCCATAGGTGAACACAACTTTATTCCACCACCTTCAACGTAAAGGAAATTTTCGATGGTCTTTAAGTCTGCTTGAAAGTTAAAATACAACTTTTAAGTGTTACAGAGAAGTAACTATGAAAAAACGTCGTACGTTGGCAGAAGGCAACACAAGTGTGGAGTGAAGCAGGTCGACATTTTGGATTCTGCCTCCAAAATCTATACAGGCAATGAAGGTTTTCCGAGCCTAAGTATCATGTGACTAAGCTATCTTACAAAAGACCTCTTTTTGCGTGAGTAAGTTAAATGTGCTAACTCATGAAATGTTAACCGGAATTCTGGAATGCGTTCTCGACTAGCAAAAGATTACTTAAGTATGATTGTAACATGAACCACCGTGCAGCAAAATCCCAAGTTCATTCAGTCACTTCAGGATGCCGCCTTTTGAAAGAACTAATTTTCGGCCGCTTACAAAAATTGCCCTTTGCAAGGAATGAATACTTATGTAACATGCATTTCTCTCATGGATTCTCGGTGCTCTTATAAATTCAAATAAATTTTATGGAAATCTTGCATAAAAAAAATCATTTTCCTGCTCATTTGACAGAAAATTAGATTTTCTCCAGACTTTATATTTGAAGGAAGGCTATTATTAGATTTTAAACATTTTCTTATTATGAGATTTTCAAGACGATAAAATGTCCGTTCATAAAACATCGTGCCTCTGCACTTACTAATGCCGCTTCTAAGGTATACAGTATGGTTCATGTCTACTGTTAAATTTTATGAATCCCATATGGTCCCTCTTATTATCAAATAGAAGTGTCTAATTTACTTCTTGTAGCTTGAAATTCTAAATGCAAGTGTAACTACAGGTCGGGTTTAAAATTATTCGGGAATTGAAAAGACTTTTATACCCCTCCTTCAAATACAAAATTTTTGGAAGACGTAAGTATCTACCAAACGAGTAAAAATGAATATTTTTACACATGTTTTACATGAAATCTACTTCCATTTAAAAGGGCATCGAAAATCAATGAGAAAAATGCATGCTTATTAAGTAGTCATACTTTGCAGAGTTGTTTTTGCAGGTGGCCGGAAAGAAGTTCGTTCATTGGCCGACATCATGTAGTAACTGAATTACCATGTGATTATGCCGCAGGGTGATTAATGTTACAACCCTGCCTAAGTAATTTGTTCGAATCGAAAACACGTTTCATAATTTCGGTTAATATTTAATGAGTTAGCACGTCTACTGTACCATCTTGTAAAAAAACGTCCTGATGCAGCGTCGACTATTGATTAAATGTAAGTAGGCGTGTTTTTGCGAATTATAAAGGAAGCATACCTAATTCCTTGCAAACTACTGCTTTCGTCTGGCTTGTGGGGTTTCCTGGACCGCACGCTGCAACGTCTGCTTAAAAATGATTGGCTGCCGTCCGACACATTCGTGGCCCCACCAAAGGTGGTAGCTGTAGTGGTGGTGGGGGTAGTCACCGCG